AGATGACTCGGGCCACGTCCCCAACATGGTCAATGTCGCGCATAACTTCTGGTGATGTGCTGGCAGTGCGCGCGCATCCGACGACGGCTCCCGGAGCCCAGCGAGGCTCCCCTGACGGTGAGTTTTTTAGACTTGGAAACCCTACACCATCTCCAGTATCCCCTAATCTATTGAAGTCTGCCTCAAACTCTATACAGGATGCAGACATGACGTTTATGACTGGGGCCTGGACAACTCCAGCTTCATTTAAAAAAACAAACAAACACAAACCCAGCCTGGTGGACAGTTCTGGAGAACTTAAAAGCTTGTCCACTGTTTTGTCTCATCTTGGTTGGTCCTAATAAAAGGTACTATGTGGTTCTATTTTATTGTTCTTTGGACTGGCACAGCTGGTTGCGGTCTCGTTCCCGCTTGTGCAGATCAACATCTGAGGATCTTTATTGCCACGCCTTTCTCTCGCCCTGACTTCTCTTCCATTTTTCGTCATTTTTGTCTGCCAATAAATCCGTGCTATATATAGTAGATGGTATGTATAAATACCATATCGTTTGCTAAGAAAGTACAAAGGGGCATACACAGTTCAAATGAAATCCAACCACAAAAAGTAGAGAAGAACCGCTTATGGAAAGATCAGCAAATATAGAAAAGAGCCAGAGAGTCCAGTAGCACCTTAAATACTAACAAAATATGTGGCAGGGGATGAGCGCTCATGAGTAGAGATGTAAAATTACTGGAAATTTTGAAGCTCAGGAAAAAAAACGGTTTTTTTCGGGGGGGGGGGTTTAATGGAAATTTACAGAAAGATTGGAAAAAATGCAACATTAGCACTTTTTTTCTTTTCCAGATTGAAAGTCATTCTGTTACTTTAGGAACATAAAATATTACTATGGACATTTTTACTTCGCATGAAATGATCGCAACTAGCATATTAAAAATATAGTGTATCCAAACAACTATTACAAACAGAATACCCACCCACATGCAAAAACAAAACTGAAACCTTTTTCTTTTCTCGTGACAACAGCACCTACTAAAGGAAGAAATGCATCTTGTTGTTGCAATGGAGAGTTCAGTTTGTAACCTAGGACTTGCTTGTCCTCAGTGCACAGAAATTAGATCAATCTGATACCATACATATTTTTTAGAAATGATTTGGAAAATAGTTAAACACCTTGTCTTAAAATATTTTATTCATCATGTTAAAATAAAACGTTCCATAATCAATTTTTTCTTTCTTTTCTTTTTTCAATTTTTCCATTTTGGGGGGGAAAAAACAATAAAGGCTTCAGGAAAAAACAGGGGGGAAAACGGTTTCTTTCCTAATTTTTCCAGGTTTTTTCCCCTTAAAATATTTTATTTATCATGTTAAAATAAAACATTCCATAATCAATTTCTTTTCTTTTGTTTTTCCAATTTTTCCAATTTTTCGGAAAAAAACAAAAACGCTTCAGGGAAAAAAAACGGTTTCTTTCCGAATTTTTCCGGGCTTTTTCCGGGCCTTCACATCTCTATTCATGAGTCACTGCTCACTTCTTTACATACTTCTTCAGTGAGCAGTGACTCGTGATAGCTCATCCCCTTCTACATATTTTGTTAATCTTTAAGGTGCTACTGGACTCTCTGGCTCTTTTCTACTGCTACAGACAGACTAACATAGCTACCCATCTTGATTTAGCTCAGCAAATATAAAAAAGGATGTTGTGACACCACAGGCATGCTCAGCTTTAAAAGGGGATTAGACCGATTCAGGTCTATCAGTGGCTACTGGCCATGGTGACAGAGGGGAGCCTCCACATTGAGAGGCACTAATCCTCTGAATCCCAGAGCCAAGAGGCAACACCAGGGAAAGGCCTCGACCTCTATGCCCTGTTGTTGGCCCCCCAGAGGAACTGGTTGGCCACTGTGTGAGACAGGATGCTGGACTAGGTGGACCACTGGTCTAACCCAGCAGCCGGGCTCTTCTGATATTCTTATGAAGACCTCGGCCTCTGTGCCCTGTTGCTGGCCCTCCAGAGGAACTGGTTGGCCACTGTGTGATACAGGAGGCTGGACTAGGTGGACCACTGGTCTAACCCAGCAGCCGGGCTCTTCTGATATTCTTATGAAGACCTCGGCCTCTGTGCCCTGTTGCTGGCCCTCCAGAGGAACTGGTTGGCCACTGTGTGAGACAGGATGCTGGACTAGGTGGACCATTGGTCTGATCCAGCAGCCGGGCTCTTCTGATGTTCTTATGAAGACCTCGGCCTCTGTGCCCTGTTGTTGGCCCTCCAGAGGAACTGGTTGGCCACTGTGTGAGACAGGATGCTGGACTAGAGGGTCCACTGGTCTGACCCAACAGGGCTCTTCTGATGTCCTTACCAGGGAAGGCCTCGGCCTTTATGTCCTGTTGTTGGCCCTCCAGAGGAACTGGTTGGCCCCTGTGTGAGACAGGATGCTGGGCTAGAAGGATCACTGGTCTGACCCAGCAGGGCTCTTCTTATGTTCTTATCAGGGAAGGCCTCGGCCCCTCTGCCCTGTTGTTGGCCCCCCAGAGGAACTGGTTGGCCGCTGTGTGAAACAGGATGCTGGGCTAGAGGGACCACTGGGTCCGATCCAGCCGGGCTCTTCTTATGTTCTCATGCAACAAAATAGGAACCACTATCCCCATCACACATCCCTGACACCTGTACTGCTCCATACAAAACGTGGAGATTACTATATGAACAATGGAGGATTCTCGACACATCGGCTGTGCTGCGGAAACAAGGTCTAAGGTCATTGCAGACTTCAAGACCTAAGGGGAGCTTCTCTCTCAAATGTTGGAAGCAACTCGAAATCTCACTGAATTTCTCATGCCTCGCTAACCCTTGTGAAAAACTACAGACGATCCAATCCGGTCAAGGGAGAGCTTTGCTTACCTGCACTCATGCTGCAAGGTGGATCGAACAAAGTTGACGGAAATGATGGACAACTGAAAAAAATGGGATAAAGAAGCACCCAGGAGGGGTCGCTTTGGAGCCAAAAGAAAATTGGAACAGGGGGGAAAAAAGGTGGTAGATGCATTCTAAAAACGAAACAAAACAAGATTACATTCAGCCAACTCAAGTAACGGGGAAGAAGGATTGGGGTCGAGTGGTTGCAGAGACGCAGGAGAAGACAAAAGCCAAGTGTAGAAAAAGACACTTATTGGGACAGGGGGTGGGCACGTCTGGGATCAGGGGGCTCCACGACAGCCCAGAACTGGGCAGGTAGAATTTCCTCCACCACAGATCTGCAGGGGCAATGTCAGTGATTGGCTTCCTGGCTGCCATGGAGCCATGAAAAGCACTGGGACCTTGCTGGAAAAACAATCAATGGCTCTTTTTGTAGAAGGAGCTCCTTTGCATATTAGGCCACACACCCCTGATGTAGCCAATCCTCCAAGAGCTTACAGTAGCCCCAGTAAGAAGAGCTCTGTAAGCTCTTGGAGGATTGGCTACACTAGAGGTGTGTGGCCTAATATGCAAAGGAGCTCCGGCGGCGGCGGTGGTGGTGGAATTGTGTTGATAAAACCTGGATAGCCCAAGCTAGTGTGCTATTGTCAAACCTCAGAGGTAATAGAAAAATATATAGCACTGTTTGTAATAAATGTAAACTTAAGGTAAATCTATTTTGTGCTTTTTATTTTATTTTTTTATTCGGCCCCACTGGTGGACCTCCTGATGGCACCTGGTATTTTTGGCCACTGTGTGACACAGAGTGTTGGACCGGATGGGCCACTGGCCTGATCCGACATTGGCGTCTCTTATGTTCTTATTTTTCTGAAGTTCTATCAGGCAGCCGCAAGGGATATGTTCTGCTAGATAAGTTATGATGTTTGCTGAAAGGGTTCTAATGGGACCCTAGAAAAATGCTGCTATTTTTTAAGAGTCTTGAACTCACAAAGAGGATTTTTGTGCCTTATGTTTTGTATGTGTATCGCTATCCTTGGAAAAGATTGTATTCCATAGGGATAACTTACTAGAGTCCCCTGGGATCAGTGCCTTATGTTTTGTATGTGTATCACTATCCTTGGGAAAGATTGTATTCCATAGGGATAACTTACTAGAGTCCTCTGGGATCAGTGTTTATGAAATTGACAAGGTGCTGTTTGAATGTTTGTGCATAGTATAAACCTGCACCTTGATATATTGTTGCGGTGAATCTATGTCTTGAAATACTTGACACCAATATTAATAAAATACTATAGAAAAATAAAAATAAAAAACACAAAATAGATTTACCTTAAGTATGCATTCATTGCACACGGTGTTGTATGTTTTTCTATATCTTCCTAACATTGTGACCATTCGTTTTTGTACTATAAACCCCAGAAGCCAAGCAGGATTGGCCCTGGTTTGGTACTTGGATGGGAGACCACCAAGGAAGTCCAGGGTCTCTACGCAGAGGCAGGCGATGGCAAACCACCTCTGAACACCTCTTGCCTTGGAAACCCCATGGGATCACCATCAATGATCCCTCTAAGCTGTGGAGTCTTTTGAGCAAACATTCCACTTTGTGAACTACGGGCATTAAAGCTGTGAGCAAGAGATTTGGCTGCTGCATCAATCAGTCTGCTCTGGAGCCCTCCTTCCCGAGCTAAGACAACAATGTGTGAGCTGGAGGCTAAAAACACTGTGAGCTGGCTCACACTAACTCAGCTTAGAGGGAACAATGGTCACCGTTAAGTCAGTTGTGATTTGACAGCTCTTCCCGCCACCCCCTGGCTCGGCACCTAAGCCCTTTAGCAGGGCAATTAAAACTACACAGAGGAGGAGGGGAAGAAAGAGCGGGTGCCAAACAATGTTCCCTCTAAGCTGTGGAGTCTTGTGAGCAGAAATTCTACTCTGTGAGCTACTGGCATTAAAGTGGTGAGCGAGCCATTTGGCTCCTGCATGAATTAGTCTGCTCTGGAGCCCTCCTTCCTGAGCGAAGACAGAAATGTGTGAGCTGGAGGCTAAAAAAACCTGTGAGCTAGCTCACACTAACTCAGCTTAGAGGGAACGCCGGTGGCAAAGTGGCTGAAATCATCTGCAGGTGTCCCCACAAAAGAGATTCATTCCCGAGGTTCCTGCAGGCCAACATAATTAAACTAACGTAACTGCAGGGTTTCTTGTTGAGACTGCAGGCGTCCTTCCTCTAAGCGGCTCTGGCAAAACTTGAGTTCTGCCTTTCGGTCTCTCATCCTGCCTCCATCTGCCTATCAACATAGCTTTCTGTCCGTGCCTATCTGCGTATCTGCCTAGACAGGCAACCGACCAACGACATCAGCCAGTTATTTTCTAGTTCAGAATGTAGGAACGGAAGGCAAATGGCGTGGGGGAAAGATGGTGGAGCTCTAAGGGCACGGGGGTGGAACCTTTGCCGAAATCTTCCCGAGATGGCTGGCATGCCTCGTCAGCGGGGGGGGGGGGACAGGGGACCACTTGCCTCTTGAAGCTGCATGGTGATTTTGTTGAACGCTCGTAACCAGTTGGCTTTCGCCCGCGCTTTAGGGTCCACCGTGATCTCCGGCTCTCTCTCCCTGTAATCAGAATGCGGAAGTCGGGGGGTCAGAGTCAGCCCCAGGGCTTTCTGCCGAAAAGTGCTGACCCAGAATCTGCACCACAGTATCAACACCTGGGGAACCTAATCCGAGACGGTTCAGCCGGCCCCACCCCTGTCTGGCATACATCAGCCGACGAGTCTCTGGGTGCGTTCAGACACGCCATTTGATCTGGTGTCGTCCCAGTTCAGAAATGGATTTTATACGTGCGATCACACAGTCAACATCTGCCTCCCATCCCCAGCTGTTGCCTTCCGGCTCAAATCCCCTTTAAACCGGAGTATTTTGATACTTGGTTCCCAAGTGGTGTTTTCCTGATTCTCCGTTTCCAGCTGTGTTTTCCCCCTGTATGATCGCTCCTCCGGTGTCGAGCCACTTCCAGCTTAAACCCCCTCCCTGCTCAAAAGCTGCCCGAGGCTTCCGCTTTCCCCCCGCCATTTTTTTTAAAGCCTTGGCGGTGTGCGCATAGGTGGAGCTCCACCACCATGTTATTAAAATAAATGTTTAAACGGTGCCTAGTTTTAGCATTTAGACGAGTTCGGGATCTCACGGAGGCCATTTTGGGGGTAAACGTTTAAAGGAAAGTGTTCCTTTAAAGTTTAAAGGGACGTGTTACAGCAGTCGGGTTGAAGTGGAAATCGCTGTTCTGCGCACGTGCGAAAATTTTAGTTCTACAGATGGCTGCCTGTGCGCATGCCCAAACTGAGAGAGAGAGAAAAAAAGAACACCGACGCACGCTCCCGCCTGTGGACGGCGGGGAGCGATGTGGCTGCGCAGCGATCCGGAGCAAGGAGGTGAGTATGATCGCGATTCTCCAGGTTAAAAAAAACCCGCATCGGGGCTGGAGCAATTTAAACCACTCCCAGCACGCCGTCTGACCGCACCCTCTGTCGGCCCGAACAGAACAGCCTTATGCATATTTACTCAGAAGTAGCCCCCACTGGGTTCAGTGCCATTTACCCCAAGTCAGGAATGTTGCTTGAAACAATCCTGTAGCTTTAAACAAGCCTGTGTTTCCTCGGGAGCAATCTGCCTTGAACACACTGGGCTTTGTGTTGGCATAACAGGGTGTTCGATGTGGATTATACCCAAGGAAGCACAAATACCAAAGGTTCTCTACATTGGGGGAGGGGGGGTTAGAAAGAAGAAGAAGAAGAGATTGGATTTATACCCCGCCCTTCACTACTCGAAGGAGTCTCAGAGCGGCTTACAATCTCCTTCCCCTTCCCCTCCCCACAACAGACACCCTGGGCTGTGAGGTAGGTGGGGCTGAGAGAGCTCTTGAGAGAACTGCTCCTGAGAGAACAGCTCTGAAAGAACCTGTGATTGACCCAAGGCCTCGCTAACAGCTGCATGGGGGGGGGAAGAGTGGGGAATCAAACCCGGTTCTCCCAGATTAGAGTTTGCACTCCTAACCACTACACCAAACTGGCAGATTTTGATAATATTTCTCCTTTTTATGTATTCCAATAAAACATGTGCTCTGTTCAGGGAAAAGTCACTCTGCATACGCTCACAGGCACTTAGTCCAAAGTGTCAAAACAAAAGACTGAGGTAATCCCCTCCCAATATATGTTATCTCCCCCCCTCCTTAGTGCTAGATGTGGCCCCCCAGGTGCATTTCTTACCTCTCCTCTGTCTCGGGGGGTTCTTCCACTTGCTCTTTTTCCTTGACCAAGGTCTCCTCCACGGGTAGCTCCTCCTGGGGGATGGGGAGAGCTTCGTCCACCTTCTCCCCTTTCTGTTCCTGTTGCTGCAAGGGCTGGGGCTTCTGTTGCGCCTGCTGCGGCGGCAGTTGCGGTGGCTGCTGCATTTTTTGCTGCGCCGGCAGTGCCGGCTTTAGTTGCACCTGCGGTGGCTGCTGCTGCTTTTGTTGTGCCTGGGTGGGCGGCTGAGCTTGTTGTGGCTTCTGCTGCTGCATCTGTGGTGGCTTCTGCTGCTGCTGCTGCTTTAGTTGTGCCTGCTGCGGCGGCGGGACTTGCTGCACCTTCTGCAGCGGCAGCTGCTGCTTTAGTTGCACAGGCTGCGGGGGTGGCGGTTGAGCTTGTGGCGGCTTCTGTGGCAGCGGCTGCGCCTGTGGCAGCTTCTGCGGCTGCACCTGCACCTGTTGCGGCTTCTGCTGGGGCGGGGAGACTTGCGGCGTCTCCTGGAGCGGGGCTTCCGGTATCTCGTCCTCGCGGTAATACTCCTCATTGTCACTGTATTCGTCACTGAATTTGTCCTCCTCCAGAGAGATGTCCTCCTCCTCTTCATCCCAGTCTTTGTGGTAACTCACCGAACTGTGGCAGGAGTGATAGGAGTCCCCGTCCCGCTCATCTAACTCCGAGCCTTGTAGACTAATGTCTTCGGGGTCAAAGTCATCACTAAGCTGGGAACTCCCCTGGCTCAGCTCGGCCGACGAGGCATACCGGCTGCTCCCCGTGGGGCTGCAGTGGTGGTGGGTAGGGATCGGGGGGGACACAGAGAAAGCAAGAAAAAAAGAGGACAAGGGAGAGACATACGCAGAGGCTTATAAAAGGGCCTAGGCACTCAAGGTTCACCCCCTAAGCCGGCCTACTACGATTTCCCAAGATGGCTGCCCGAGGCACTGTGGCTGACATACCCTCAATCTTTGAAAAGAGTTTCTCCCCCCCCCCGTCTTATGGTTCTCTAGTTTGGGAACTTGTGGGGTTGAGACGTCACGGGGGCACACACGCTGTCAGGCCGTGTCTCAGCAAATGGAAACCATTTCTCATCCTGGCTTCAACTTAGGGTTGCCAAGTCGGGCGTTTCGCCGCACCGGGGGACATAGAGTTTTCCCTCGGATGACCGTGGCCCCGCCCCCAGCGTGCCTGGCATGGTCGCGTCACTTCCGGGTGACGTGCACGTCGGGGTGGGGCTCCCCCCGGGCCCGATCCGCCGGGGGGACTTGGCAAGCCTACTTCAACTTCTATGCCTGCGAGCGACCGATGCTTTCAGGAAAAGTGTGGCTGTTCCTTGAGGGACGTTCGTCAGAACCCTTGAAACAGCTTTGATATTGGTTCAGCTCTGTAGCTGTAGACAGGTGTAGATGATCCAATTGGGAAGGATTGATCTGCTGATTTTAATCTGTATTTTTGTATGTTTTTAACCTGTTGTAAATCGCCCAGAGCCCTGTGTACTCAGGGATTGGGAGATTCAGAAATTCTATTGATGATGATTCCTCTGACTCTGGTGGGGTGTGTGAGGATAGGATGCTTGGGTGAGGAGGTATCCCCACAGTGTTGGCATCATTACTTCAAGAAGTGGAGCAACATGCGACTCGGCTATTTAGGTGGCAGGTAGCGATCGTCACACAAAAAGCTGGTGCCATCCCCGTCTGTGGAAATTTTTCACACAATGGGGGTGAGGCCTCCAGGCATGCCACCACACACATTATCGCCTTGGTATAGAGGGAGGGAATGCCACACTTCAGAGTGCCCTCAACATGGTAGCCCCAAAACAGGCACTAGGCCAAAGCCTGCTCAGCTTATTGTTGCTTGTGATATTTGTGTGAGGGAGGTAGGATTCGCAAGCTTGGCCTGCAACCAGCGGAGATGGGGGTGTGGACATGAGGGGGCCACTGTTGGTGACATAATGACATCACTTCTGGGGGAAGTGACGTCAGTCGTCTCTAGGAATCACTGGAAATTATGGGGAAACCAAAGAGCTTCCAGCAATTCCTAGAGAGGACTGATGTTACTTCCAGGTTTCCCTCAGAAGTGATGTCATGATGTCATGTTGATTTTCCCTCTACTGCCACTCAGAGTAGAAATAGGGAACGAGAACTGGGGGCTTGGCAGCCCTACGGGAGGAGATCAAATTTTTACAGCCGTCAGTTCATATATCCTCCTTTCAATGTGGCGTCTCTCTTCTGTGAAGCAGTTTGTTTTTGCACCCATTTCTCCTTTCTTGATACCCCCCCTTTTTTTTACAATCAACCCATATTAGGTTGTGTTGCTTCTTTTACTAGACACCCTTCTTGCTAACTCTCAATCTGGTGCCATAGGTCCTTGCCACACTAGACCTTAAATCCTGGTTCAACCCTGTCCCCGAACTTATATTCTACACTACACACAAGTTCACCTCTCTAATTATCGCGAGGTATATTTACATTCTGCACGACACTCGAGTTCACTGCTGTAATTATCTTGGGGTATTTCTTGTTTCCATACTACATTGAGGTCACCCTGGTTTTGCCCCACACTTGTCCCGGCATAAACAGATGCTGTTATAACCAGGGATATATGGAGCAGGCATATAGAAGAGGTCCATCAGTGGCTATTAGCCACAAAGTATAGATAGGGGCCCTGGGGCAAGTGATGCTCTGTCTTCTTGGTGCTTGGGGGGGGCAACAGTGGGAGGGCTTCTAATGTCCTGGCCCCACTGGTGAACCTCCTGATGGCACCTGGTATTTCTGGCCACTGTGTGACAGTGTTGGACTGGATGGGCCATTGGCCTGATCCAACATTGGCTTCTCTTATGTTCTTATATGCAAGGTCCATCAGTGGCTATTAGCCACAAGGTATAGATGGGAACTCTCAGTCTGGGGCAAGGGATGCTCTGTATTCTTGGTGCTTGGGGGGGCAACAGTGGGGGGGGCTTCTAGTGTCCTGGCCCCACTGCTGGACCTCCTGATGGCACCTGGTATTTTTGGCCACCGTGTGACACAGAGTGTTGGACTGGATGGTCCATTGGCCTGATCCAACATTGGCTTCTCTTATGTTCTTATATGGAGCAGAGGTCCATCAGTGGCTATTAGCCACAAGGTATAGATAGGAACTGTCAGTCTGGGGCAAGGGATGCTCTGTATTCTTGGTGCTTGGGGGGGGGGTCAACAGTGGGAGGGCTTCTAGTGCCCTGGCCCCACTGCTGGACCTCCTGATGGCACCGGTATTTCGTGACAGAGTGTTGGACTAGATGGGCCATTGGCCTGATCCAACATTGGCGTCTCTTGTGTTCTTAGGGATAAATGCAAGGTATTGTTACTTTAGTACTGTTCTTATTGTTTATTATTGTTACTACTAAGATTGTATTGTTTTATTGGATTTTATGCGTGGGCTTTTGCCCCTGTAAGCCGCCCTGAGCCTGCTCGCAGGGAGGGCGGGGTAAAAATGCCTAAATAAATAAATAAATAAAATAAGTTGAACTCTGATAAAACTGGGGATGAGATCCAAGTGCAGAAAGGACCAAAGTCCTAACTTTTTAGCACCGTCTTAAAACCTTCTCGTTTGCCTGGATAAGGTTGTGAACGCCAGGAAATTCCTGGCGATTTGGGGGCGGGGTCTGGGAAGGGGAGGGAGCTCTGCTAGTATGTGATGCCACACAAAGCTGCCCTTTCCCCCAAGGGGAACTGATCTCTCTAGTCCGGAGATTAGTTGTAATTCCAGGAGAACTCCGAGCCCCGCTGAAAGGATGCCAATCCTGGGAATGGTAGGTGGGGTATACCTGCCTGCTTTAGCCAGTCAGTTAGCCTGCTTTATATATTTGGGTCTTTTGGCTGGTTGGTTTTATTACTGTGGCTATTTTCAGGGCTACCCGTTTCAGGTGTCAGTTTTAATGCTGCTTTTGGTTGTGCTGCACTGTAGATTTTCCAGGGAGAACAAAAAGAAGGAGGCGGGTTGTTGGGTTTTTTTGCATTCGGTGAGGAACTTGTGGAACTCTCCTTTCCACAAGATATTATGACGGCCCCTGGCTTTGGTCGCTTGAAAGGGGGACTGGACAAACTCATGGGAAGATAGGTCTGATCGGGGCTATTTTTTGGGCAGGAACGCACAGGAACGGAGTTCCGGCTGGCTTCAGAGTTGGCCACGCCCACTACAGCCAAAACCTCTGCGTGCCTGGCTACAGAGGGAAGGCCTGGAGAGCGACACACACACCCCCCCGTGACTCTGAGGCGAGCAGGCCAGGGGGGCCCCTGGAAGGATCAGGGAGGCATTTAAATGCCTCCCCGTGCCTTCCCTGGCCTATCCAAGGGCCGGCTTGCCCGGGCTCCCTGCAGCCGCGGGGCACTCGGGCAAGCCAAGGGAAGGCAATTTAAACTGCCTTCCCTCCCCCCCAAGGGCCAGCTTGCCCGGGCTCCCCACAGCCGCAGGGCGTCCAGGCAAGCCAAGGGAAGGCATGGGGGTGTGGCCTAATATTCTAATGAGCTGCACTGTCATGGGTGTGACTTAATATGGTAATGAGTTTCTGCTATTGGGTGTTGCCTATTATGCTAATGAGTTCCCGCTGGGCTTTTTCTACAAAAAAAGCCCTGGCGTCTGATGGCAGCTACATAGAACCTCCATGTTCAGAGGTATTATTCTTCTGAATACCGGTTGTTAGGGGGCAAAAGGAGGGGAAGCTTTGACCTCCATGTCCTGCTGGTACATTTCCCAGGGGTATCTGGTTGGCCACTGTAGGAAATAGGATGATAAAATGGATGGACCATTGGTCTTTTATGTTCATGGGCTGAATGTATGCATTGGTAACTGATAATTCTGTTGGCTCCGTGGCAGAACAGAGACATGGAATAATTTAATAAAATCATCTAGATCCTCCACCACCACCCCTGGGAAGATATGGTTGTTTTTCTGGCCTTTTTCCTGGGCTTTAAACCATCAGCATGGCAGATAAAACTATGCCAGTGATAGATTCATCTCCTTCCCAGAATCCCACATTAAGAGCTGCGGTGGCTCAAGCGGTTAAGACGCTGAACGGCAGGATGTGGAAGGTCAGTAGTTCAGCAGTTTGAGACCCGGGTGCCGCAAGACGGAGTGAGCTCCCGTCTCTAGTTCCAGCTCCTGCCAACCTAGCAGTTCGAAAGCAAGAAATGGCAAGTAGATAAATAGGGACCACTTTGGTGGGAAGGTAACAGCGTTCAGTGCACCTTGGTGTTTAGTCATGCCGGCCACATGACCACAGAAACGTCTTTAGACAGCGCTGGCTCTTCGGCTTTGAAACGGAGACGAGCACCGCAACCCTAAAGTCGGATTTGACTGGCTTTCGAGCAAGGGAACCTTTACCTTTACCTAAGGCGCAGCAAGAAGGCCAGGGGGAAAAGGATAGTTGCCCTACCTTGAGAGGGGGCCTCCTTCTCTATTTTCTCAGCTTCCTGCCTCCCAAGATTCTCGAGAATGTGGGACAGAATTATTTCAAATAAACACAGCAGGCCTTTCTTGCCTATAGGAGCACCTCTACCCATTTCTCTCCCCTACTCACTCTCTGTGGGACAAATAGGGAATGCCTCTACCAGTTGCACACGGGAGAGCAGTGCATTCTTGGTGGTGGCCCCACTCACAGCAGAATATCCTCTCCAGATGAACCAATTATTCTCCATTGTCTGCAATGTTTTTGCTCAGGACAGGGTGGGGTGGGAAGGAATACCAGTTTCTCTTTTTACGGCATTGCCAGGTGGATGCCTTTAAGTAACTTTTACTGTATCCTGACT